TGGTGGTGGTAGAATATGGTGGTGGTAGAATATGGTGGTGGTAGAATATGGTGGTGGTAGAATATGGTGGTGGTAGAATATTGTGGTGGTAGAATATGGTGGTGGTAGAATATGGTGGTGGTAGAATATGGTGGTGGTAGAATATTGTGGTGGTAGAATATGGTGGTGGTAGAATATGGTGGTGGTAGAATATGGTGGTGGTAGAATATGGTGGTGGTAGAATATTGTGGTGGCAGAATATGGTGGTGGTAGAATATGGTGGTGGTAGAATATGGTGGTGGTAGAATATGGTGGTGGTAGAATATGGTGGTGGTAGAATATGGTGGTGGTAGAATATGGTGGTGGTAGAATATGGTGGTGGTAGAATATGGTGGTGGTAGAATATGGTGGTGGTAGAATATGGTGGTGGTAGAATATGGTGGTGGTAGAATATTGTGGTGGTAGAATATGGTGGAATGGTAGAATATGGTGGTGGTAGAATATGGTGGTGGTAGAATATGGTGGTGGTAGAATATGGTGGTGGTAGAATATGGTGGTGGTAGAATATGGTGGTGGCAGAATATGGTGGTGGTAGAATATGGTGGTGGTAGAATATGGTGGTGGTAGAATATGGTGGTGGTAGAATATGGTGGTGGTAGAATATGGTGGTGGTAGAATATGGTGGTGGTAGAATATGGTGGTGGTAGAATATGGTGGTGGTAGAATATTGTGGGGTAGGTGGTGGTAGAATATGGTGGTGGTGGTAGAATATGGTGGTGGTAGAATATGGTGGTGGTAGAATATGGTGGTGGTAGAATATGGTGGTGGTAGAATATGGTGGTGGTAGAATATGGTGGTGGTAGAATATGGTGGTGGTAGAATATGGTGGTGGTAGAATATGGTGGTGGTAGAATATGGTGGTGGTAGAATATGGTGGTGGTAGAATATGGTTGTGGTAGAATATTGTGGTGGTAGAATATGGTGGTGGTAGAATATGGTGGTGGTAGAATATGGTGGTGGCAGAATATGGTGGTGGTAGAATATTGTGGTGGTAGAATATGGTGGTGGTAGAATATGGTGGTGGTAGAATATGGTGGTGGTAGAATATGGTGGTGGTAGAATATGGTGGTGGTAGAATATGGTGGTGGTAGAATATGGTGGGAGTAGAATATGGTGGTGGAAAAATATGGTGGTGGTAGAATATGGTGGTGGTAGAATATGGTGGTGGTAGAATATGGTGGTGGTAGAATATGGTGGTGGTAGAATATGGTGGTGGTAGAATATGGTGGTGGTAGAATATGGTGGTGGTAGAATATGGTGGTGGCAGAATATGGTGGTGGTAGAATATGGTGGTGGTAGAATATGGTAGAATATGGTGGTAGAATATGGTGGTGGTAGAATATTGTGGTGGTAGAATATGGTGGTGGTAGAATATGGTGGTGGTAGAATATGGTGGTGGTAGAATATGGTGGTGGTAGAATATGGTGGTGGTGGAATATGGTGGTGGTAGAATATGGTGGTGGTAGAATATTGTGGTGGTAGAATATGGTGGTGGTAGAATATGGTGGTAGTAGAATATGGTGGTGGTAGAATATGGTGGTGGTGGTAGAATATGGTGGTGGTAGAATATGGTGGTGGTAGAATATGGTGGTGGTAGAATATGGTGGTGGTAGAATATGGTGGTGGTAGAATATGGTGGTGGTAGAATATGGTGGTGGTAGAATATGGTGGTGGTAGAATATGGTGGTGGTAGAATATGGTGGTGGAAGAATATGGTGGTGGTAGAATATGGTGGTGGTAGAATATGGTAGGTGGTGGTAGAATATGGTGGTGGTAGAATATGGTGGTGGTAGAATATGGTGGTGGTAGAATATGGTGGTGGTAGAATATGGTGGTGGTAGAATATGGTGGTGGTAGTGGTAGAATATGGTGGTGGTAGAATATGGTGGTGGTAGAATATGGTGGTGGCAGAATATGGTGGTGGTAGAATATGGTGGTGGTAGAATATTGTGGTGGTAGAATATGGTGGTGGTAGAATATGGTGGTGGTAGAATATGGTGGTGGTAGAATATGGTGGTGGTAGAATATGGTGGTGGTAGAATATGGTGGTGGTAGAATATTGTGGTGGTAGAATATGGTGGTGGTAGAATATGGTGGTGGTAGAATATGGTGGTGGTAGAATATGGTGGTGGTAGAATATTGTGGTGGCAGAATATTGTGGTGGTAGAATATGGTGGTGATAGAATATTGTGGTGGTAGAATATGGTGGTGGTAGAATATTGTGGTGGTAGAATATGGTGGTGGTAGAATATGGTGGTGGTAGAATATGGTGGTGGTAGAATATGGTGGTGGTAGAATATGGTGGTGGTAGAATATGGTGGTGGTAGAATATGGTGGTGGTAGAATATTGTGGTGGTAGAATATGGTGGTGGTAGAATATGGTGGTGGTAGAATATGGTGGTGGTAGAATATGGTGGTGGTAGAATATGGTGGTGGTAGAATATGGTGGTGGTAGAATATGGTGGTGGTAGAATATGGTGGTGGTAGAATATGGTTGGGGTAGAATATGGTGGTGGTAGAATATGGTGGTGGTAGAATATGGTGGTGGTAGAATATGGTGGGGGTAGAATATGGTGGTGGTAGAATATGGTGGTGGTAGAATATGGTGGTGGTAGAATATGGTGGTGGTAGAATATGGTGGTGGTAGAATATGGTGGGGTAGTGGTAGAATATGGTGGTGGTAGAATATGGTGGTGGTAGAATATGGTGGTGGTAGAATATGGTGGTGGTAGAATATGGTGGTGGTAGAATATGGTGGTGGCAGAATATGGTGGGCGGTAGAATATGGTGGTGGTAGAATATGGTGGTGGTAGAATATGGTGGTGGTAGAATATGGTTGTGGTAGAATATTGTGGTGGTAGAATATGGTGGTGGTAGAATATGGTGGTGGCAGAATATGGTGGTGGTAGAATATTGTGGTGGCAGAATATTGTGGTGGTAGAATATGGTGGTGGCAGAATATGGTGGTGGTAGAATATGGTGGTGGCAGAATATGGTGGTGGCAGAATATGGTGGTGGTAGAATATTGTGGTGGCAGAATATTGTGGTGGTAGAATATGGTGGTGGCAGAATATGGTGGTGGCAGAATATGGTGGTGGTAGAATATTGTGGTGGCAGAATATTGTGGTGGTAGAATATTGTGGTGGCAGAATATTGTGGTGGTAGAATATGGTGGTGGTAGGATATTGTGGTGGTAGAATATGGTGGTGGTAGAATATGGTGGTGGTAGAATATGGTGGTGGTAGAATATGGTGGTGGTAGGATATTGTGGGGGGTAGAATATGGTTGTGGTAGAATATGGTGGTGGTAGAATATGGTGGTGGTAGAATATGGTGGTGGTAGAATATGGTGGTGGTAGAATATTGTGGTGGTAGAATATGGTTGTGGTAGAATATGGTGGTGGTTGAATATGGTGTTGGCAGAATATGGTGGTGGTAGAATATGGTGGTGGTAGAATATGGTGGAGGTAGAATATTGTGGGGGTAGAATATGGTGGTGGTAGAATATGGTGGTGGTAGAATATGGTGGAGGTAGAATATTGTGGGGGGTAGAATATGGTGGTGGTAGAATATTGTGGTGGCAGAATATGGTGGTTGTAGAATATGGTGGTGGTAGAATATGGTGGAGGTAGAATATTGTGGGGGGTAGAATATGGTGGTGACAGAATATGGTGGTGGTAGAATATGGTGGTGGTAGAATATGGTGGTGGTAGAATATGGTGGTGACAGAATATGGTGGTGGTAGAATATTGTGGGCGGTAGAATATGGTGGTGGTAGAATATGGTGGTGGTAGAATATGGTGGTGGTTGAATATGGTGGTGGTAGAATATGGTGGTGGTAAAATATGGTGGTGGTAAAATTTGATGGTGGTAGAATATTGTGATAGTAGAATATGATGGTGGTAGAATATTGTGGTGGTAGAATATTGTGAGGGGTAGAAAATGGAGGTGGTAGAATATTGTGGGGTTAGAATATTGTGAGGGTAGAATATTGTGGGGGTAGAATATGGTGGTGGTAGAATATTGTGGTGGTAGAATATGGTGGTGGAAGAATATTGTGGGGGTAGAATATGGTGGAGGGAGAATATAGTGGTGGTAGAATATGGTGGTGGTAGAATATGGTGGTGGCAGAATATGGTGGGGGTAGAATATTGTGGAGGTAGAATATGGTGGGGGTAGAATATTGTGGAGGTAGAATATTGTGGGGGTAGAATATGGTGGAGGTAGAATATGGTGGGGGTAGAATATGGTGGAGGTAGAATATTGTGGGGGTAGAATATTGTGGAGGTAGAATATTGTGGGGGTAGAATATTGTGGAGGTAGAATATTGTGGGGGTAGAATATGGTGGTGGTAAAATATGGTGGTGGTGGTAGAATATGGTGCTGGTAGAATATGGTGGTGGAGGTAGAAAATAGTAGTGGTAGAATATGGTGGTGGTATAATATGGTGGTGGTAGAATATTGTGTTAGTAGAATATGGTGGTGGAAAAATATTGTAGTGGTAGAATATTGTAGGGGTAGAATATGGTAGAGGTAGAATATGGTGTTGGTAGAATATAGTGGTGGTAGAATATGGTGGTGGTGGTAGAATATGGTTCTGGGAGAATATGTGGCGTAGAATATTGTGGTGGTAGAATATGGTGGTGGTAGAATATGGTGGTGGTAGAATATTGTGGGGGTAGAATATGGTGGAGGAAAAATATGGTGGTGGTAGAATATGGTGGTGGTAGAATATGGTGGGGTAGAATATGGTGGTGGTAGAATATGGTGGTGGTAGAATATGGTGGGGTAGAATATGGTGGTGGTAGAATATGGTGGTGGTTTGAATATGGTCGTGTACAAGCCATGTATTATTACCTCACAATGGTGACGAGAGAACAACGTAAGCAGTAGAATATGGCAGCAGACAACAAATACAGCAGCAGCAGGCAACAGCATCGTGTACAAGCCATGTATAATTACCTCACAACTGTATCGACGAGAGAACAAGACAAGCAGACAACGGCAGCAGCAGAGACCGACAGCAGCAGCAGACAACAGCAGCAGCAGCAGCAGACAACAGCAGCAGCAGCAGCAGCAGACAACAGCAGCAGAAGCAGCAGCAGACAACAGCTAACGATGGTGTGGCCAACAGTGTCGGAAAAAACTAGGCAGCAGTTCTTATATACATCTCCCGCCCAGGCTCCTCCCACCCTGTCTCCTCCCACCCTGTCTCCTCCCACCCCTGTCTCCTCCCACACTGTCTCCTCCCTCCCTGTCTCCTCCCACCTTGTCTCCTCCCACCCCTGTCTCCTCCCACCCTGTCTCCTCCTACCCTGTCTCCTCCCTCCCTGTCTCCTCCCACCTTGTCTCCTCCCACCCTGTCTCCTCCCACCGTGTCTCCCCCCTGTCTCCTCCCACCCTGTCTCCTCCCACCGTGTCTCCTCCCACCCTGTCTCCTCCCACCCTGTCTCTTCCCTCCCTGTCTCCTCCCACCCTGTCTCCTCCCTCCCTGTCTCCTCCCACCCTGTCTCCTCCCTCCCTGTCTCCTCCCACCCTGTCTCCTCCCACCCTGTCTCCTCCCACCCTGTCTCCTCCCACCCTGTCTCCTCCCACCCTGTCTCCTCCCACCCTGTCTCTTCCCTCCCTGTCTCCTCCCACCCTGTCTCCCACCCTGTCTCCTCCCTCCCTCCCCACCCTCCTCCCCACCGTCGGCCCTGCCCTCCCGCCACTCCCAACGCCGGCCCTCCCCACCGCGGTCCTCCCCACCTGTCTCCTCCTTCCCTCCCCACCCTGTCTCCTCCACCGCCCTGTCTCCTCCCACCCTGTCTCCTCCCACCCTGTCTCCTCCCTCCCTATCTCCTCCCCACCGCCGACCCTCCCCACCCGTCTCCTCCCCGGTCTCCTCCCCACCGCCGACCCTCCCCACCGCCGACCCTCCCCACCGCCGGCCCTCCCCACCGCGGGCCCTCACCCCACCCTCCCCCCAGTATCTACCAGCAGGCGTCCACAAAGGTCAACAATACCACCTGGTGTGGCGTGTAAGATAATATCTCGGAAAAATTTTCCTGTTTTGTTCATGGGAATCCTCTCAAATGTTGTCATGCCGGCTCTTGTTGTTGTTGTTGTTGTGGTTGATGTTCCTTTGTTGATGTTGTTGTTGTTGATGATGTTCCCTTGTTGTTGATGATGTGTTGTTATAGTGCTGTTGTTGATGTACCCGTGTTGTTGATGTTGTGATGCCAGAGTGAAGTGCTTGTTGTTGTCGTCGTTGTTACCCCGTCCTGGGCTAGGAGCATCCCTCCGTGCTCTGGGTGGGGGTGTTGGATAATCCTAGCAAGCAATTATTTGTTTTTATTCTTTGTGAACATTTATTTTCTATTTTTTATCACTTCAATATTGATGATTATGATTCTAAGTGGACTGTATATTTGATTCAGCCTGCCAGAATTTACCTGCACATAGTTGGAGGGACGTTTACACCTTATACAACAATTGGTGGTCATATAATAAGCTATAAACATTTACCTTATTATAATATAAATTATACCACATATGGTGGTAATTAATCTACAGTATGGTTAGTACTACTCAATCTTATAGTAAACATGGGTTAGTACAAATGTGAGATCTTAGCCATGATGTAGGTATGGCCTGATTAGGCAGTGTGATAGCTGTTAGAGTGTGGCTACATGTGGTCCAGTTGTAAAATGGGGGCTGGCACTCAGGTGGCGTCTGTGGAACAGCTAGGGTAAGCAAGAACATCACAAGTTATGTTGGCCAGCTCACCTCATTATCTTCAACTCACAAACTTACCTACCAAAGAATGGGATTAATAACGGTTCCATTAACATATAAAGTACAGGTTTGACATGAATTATTTGTGTGTGTGTAGTGCTGAGTAAAACACTACTCACTTTGTTGTGGGGCTTCGTCTGCAGCTTAACCAACTACCTATCCTATATTTAATAGTGATCACTACCAATAAAAGATGTAATGGGAGTCGGGAACTAAGCTCTTCTCTTTGTTATTGAGGGTTGGTCGGATCGTTGTGGATCCATTGACAAGTTGTGCTTGTCGTGAGGAGCCCTCTTTGTTTTGTTTCTGTGTCTGAGCCAGAGCGTGACTGCCAGCCTCCTTCCCTGAGGTTGCGTTCCAATACTCTGTTGGTTCCTACTCTGTCTTAAGGACAAGGTTTATGTAACAATAGCAAGGAAGTCTGTAGTGTATTTTTATTGCTAATTATAATATATCCAGTTCTAGTGAATTTTTTTTTAATAAGTTAAAACACTAGACTGTAGTTAAAAAGAATAATTGGAGTTTATTATATACGTGTTGTGAATATGGGTCTATTGTGATAACGACACTGAATCTCCCATTTTCCTCATATTCGGAAATGGCTAATTATAGTATGTTAACATGTGTGTAGGATTTCCAACAGGGGGTTAAGACTTATCCCTCCCTGGGCCAGGAACACCACACAATGCTCCGGGAGGTGGTTAAGAATATCCCCGAACGCCTGGTGCAATGCTACGAACCCTTCTGTAACCGACATTATATATATATATATATATATATTATATATATTATATATATATATATATATATATATATATATATATATATATATATATATATGTCGTACCTAGTAGCCAGAACTCACTTCTCAGCCTACTATGCGAGGCCCGATTTGCTTAATAAGCCAAGTTTTACTGAATTAATATATTTTCTCTATTTTTTTTCTTAGGAAATGATAAAGCTACCCATTTCATTATGTATGAGGTCAATTTTTTTTTTATTGGAGTTAAAATTAACGTAGATATATGACCGAACCTAACCAACCCTACCTAACCTAACCTAACCTATCTTTATAGGTTAGGTTAGGTTTAGGTAGCCGAAAACGTTAGGTTAGGTTAGGTTAGGTAGGTTAGGTAGTCGAAAAATAATTTATTCATGAAAACTTTGCTTATTTGGCAAATCGGGCCTTGCATAGTAGGCTGAGAAGTACGTTCTGGCTACTAGGTACGACATATATATAATATATATATATATATATTATATATATATATATATATATATATATATATATATATATATATATATATATATATATATATGCGAACAAGCCTGAATGGTCCCCAGGACAATATGCAACTGAAAACTCACACCCCAGAAGTGACTCGAACCCATACTCCCAGGAGCAACGCAACTGGTATGTACAAGACGCCTTAATCCACTTGACCATCACGACCGGACATAATGAGGTGATAGCCGAGGCTATTTGAACCACCCCACCGCCGGCACTCGGATAGTAATCTTGGGCATAGCATTTCACCAAATCACCTCATTCTTTGGGGCACACGTGAGGAACACATATGCGAACAAGCCTGAATGGTCCCCAGGACAATATGCAACTGAAAACTCACACCCCAGAAGTGACTCGAACCCATACTCCCAGGAGCAACGCAACTGGTATGTACAAGACGCCTTAATCCACTTGACCATCACGACCGGACATAATGAGGTGATAGCCGAGGCTATTTGAACCACCCCACTGCCGGCACTCGGATAGTAATCTTGGGCATAGCATTTTACCAAATCACCTCATTCTTTGGGGCACACGTGAGGAACACAAATGCGAACAAGCCTGAATGGTCCCAGGACAATATGCAACTGAAAACTCACACCCCAGAAGTGACTCGAACCCATACTCCCAGGAGCAACGCAACTGGTATATACAAGACGCCTTAATCCACTTGACCATCACGACCGGACATAATGAGGTGATAGCCGAGGCTATTTGAACCACCCCACCGCCGGCACTCGGATAGTAATCTTGGGCATAGCATTTTACCAATCACCTCATTCTTTGGGGCACACGTGAGGAACACAAATGCGAACAAGCCTGAATGGTCCCCAGGACAATATGCAACTGAAAACTCACACCCCAGAAGTGACTCGAACCCATACTTCTAGGAGCAACGCAACTGGTATGTACAAGACGCCTTAATCCACTTGACCATCACGACCGGACATAATGAGGTGATAGCCGAGGCTATTTGAACCACCCCACCGCCGGCACTCGGATAGTAATCTTGGGCATAGCATTTACCAAATCACCTCATTCTTGGGGCACACGTGAGGAACACAAATGCGAACAAGCCTGAATGGTCCCCAGGACAATATGCAACTGAAAACTCACACCCCAGAAGTGACTCGAACCCATACTCCCAGGAGCAACGCAACTGGTATGTACAAGACGCCTTAATCCACTTGACCATCACGACCGGACATAATGAGGTGATAGCCGAGGCTATTTGAACCACCCCACCGCCGGCACTCGGATAGTAATCTTGGGCATAGCATTTTACCAAATCACCTCATTCTTTGGGGTGATAGCCGTGATAGCCGTGATAGCCTCGGCTATCACCTCATTATGTCCGGTCGTGATGGTCAAGTGGATTAAGGCGTCTTGTACATACCAGTTGCGTTGCTCTGGGAGTATGGGTTCGAGTCACTTCTGGGGTGTGAGTTTTCAGTTAGTTATATATATATATATATATATATATATATATATATATATATATATATATATATATATATATATATATATATATATATATATATATATATATATATATATATATATATATATATATATATCCAGACTTTGTGTCTGGAGAGTGTCTCATGAGTAGGCTGGCCGTTTTTTTGGTTTTATAGTAAATCGTCAGTTGTATCCTCTGATTTTTGTCTGTAGGGATAACGTTCCTATTAACAATATCTTTCAGGACCCTTTCCTCCGTTTTATGAGCTGTGGAAAAGAAGTTCTTGTAAAACAGTCTAATAGGGGGAACAGGTGTTGTGTTAGTTGTCTCTTCAGAGGTTGCATGGCGTTTCACTTTCCTTCTTATAATGTCTTCAACGAAACCATTGGAGAAGCCGTTGTTGACTAGGACCTGCCTTACCCTACAGAGTTCTTCGTCGACTTGCTTCCATCCTGAGCTGTGGCTGAGAGCACGGTCGACATAAGCGTTAACAACACTCCTCTTGTACCTGTCTGGGCAGTCACTG